TTTCAACTTACCGGATGTTACAGTAACCTTGTTCAACTGACGGTAATCTAACACATCCTAAGGGTACCATCTTTCTTTCTCACAAATAAGACCAGAGCACCCCAAGGTGAGACACTTGGTCGAATAAATCCCTTATCTAAGAGATCATTTAACTGTTCTTTAAGCTCTTTCAACTCTGTTGGTGTCATTCTATATGGCAGAATAAAGATAGGTTGAGTATTTGGAAAAAGGTCTATACCGAAGTCTACCTCTCTTTCAGGAGGGACCGTGGGTAGATCATCTGGAAAGACTTCTGAAAACTCTCTTACTACTGAAACTGACTGAATATGAGGTATCTCAACACTAGAGTCATTAACTCAGACTAATTGATAGACACACCCCTTAGAAACTAACTTCCTTGCCTTAAGGTACGAAATGAAACGACCCTTAGGCACTGCTGAACTGCTTTTACACTCTAAGACTGGCTCATTTGGAAATTGAAACTTGACAACTTGAGTTCTACAATCAACTGAGGCATAACAGGCATAAAGCCAATCCATACCAAGAATGAAATCAAAATCTACCATGTCTAACTCAATTAAATCAGCCATGGTACTCTTGTGATTGACGGAAATGGGACAATCACGATAAACTCTTTCTGCTAGAATGGACTCACCACCATGTGTAGAAACACTGAATGGTTCACTAAGTTGATCAGGATTAACATCAAAATTCATAGCAACATATGGAGTTACAAAAGACAAACTCGCTCCTGGGTTTAGCAAAGCATAAACAGTAAAGTCAAAGACTTGGATCATACCAGTGACAACATCTGGCGAATCCTCTTGCTCTTGGCGACTATTGATAGCATATAAGTAAATTGTTTCCCCACCAGTACCTGAAGTAGCTCCTCGAGATATAGCTTTGTCTGGTGGAGCAACTAAAGAAAGTTGGGCCATATTGCCCCTATTACCATTACCTTTCATGTTCTCAAGACACTCCCTCATAAAATGACTGTTCTGACTACGCTTGAAACAACCAGTAGAGCCCTCACGACAAATACCTGAGTGGTTTCTGCCACACTTAGCACATGCAGGAGGCTTACTACCCTTTTGTACCATACTGCCTTAAGAATAGGTGGGTTTAGCTTTGAAATTCTAACTATTGTACTCATATTTGTTCTTAGGTGCAGATGCACTAGAAGATGATGGGGCAGGTCCCTTCTGTTTCTGTTGGAAGGAAGACCAGATCGCACTACTCTTTTGCTGCCTGAACTTGTTCCCTAATGTCTTAGCCCTCTTATTCTTAAACTCTTCTTTATCCTTCAACTTATCATTCTCAACTTGTTGCACGTGGATCATTAGCCTTGCTATGTCCATATTATTTATCAACATCACTGCCTTGCCTTCCTTGCTTGACTGACGAGACAACCCAGCAACAAATAAACTAATCATGCTCCTCATGTCAACAACCATCTCCAGGGCATAGTGGGAAAGTTGTGCAAACTTCAGACTGTACTCATGAACACTCATAGACTCTAGATTAAGGGAGAGAAACTCTTTTATCTTTACCTCTCGCAACTCACGAGGAAAGAAATGTCCCATGAGAGCACTCTCAAACACAATCCAACTCACTATTGGCGCATTCTCAGCCCTATTCTTTTTCCATTGGTCGAACCAGACTCTAGTGACACCATTCATTTGGTATGCAGCTAGTTCCACCCTCTCAGCATCTACAACATGCATAATCTCAAAAAAAAAAATTGAAACTCTTCAACAAAGTTCTCTGGATCTTCTGTGACACTTGAACCTGTGAAGCTTGGTGGGTTCATCCTTAAAAACTCACGGATCCTTGAAGTATCAGCCACTTCCTATCGATTATCTCTCTGTCCATCTTAATGGGTCACAACTTGACTTAACATCCGGATAGCTTCACAGAATTCAGCATTGGTGACCTCTCCTTGGGTTGAACTTCTGGTGCATTAGGTACCCCTTGTTCCTCGACATTTCTCCTAGCAGGACGACCTCGAACAACTCTTCGGGGAGGCATGATTATCTAAAAACACGCGCAAGCAAGAATTAGAGGGAAACTTTTTAGAGATCAAACTCTAATACACGAAATGAGTGTGAAAGAAGTGAGAATTCTCCTAAGTCTTACAGCCTCCTAATTATAAATGTGGCGCACTTCACACCGATAACTAGGACTCTACAAACATGGCTTCATAGACTCCCTGGAACTTTTGAACTCTGTGCTCTGATACCAAGTTTGTCACACCACGAGCCTACACCCTGGAAGTGGCCGGCACTCGAGAACCATTGATGGCCCCAAGCGAACCCTTGGCTTGGCTTACTTACTCAGCAGAAGACTTAACTTAACAAGATAATCCCAAAACATAACTTCAAAGAGATATAAACATAGCCAAAACAGCAATCGGAGTCTGTAAACAACATCTGAATGATAATATAAAGACAATTGAATTACTAACTGACTGACTGTCTATGAAGCCTCTAAAAACAACTGAGATGGATGTTGGGACAAGCCCCACAACATCTTAATGAACTGATAAAATAACTGAAAGCAATAAAAGGAGTCCTCCGAAATGTAAAAAGGCTCTCCAACTGACTCTGGAGTGCTCACTGGATCAATGATGAGCTGGATGTTGATCCTGGTTACCTGTGTCTGTATCATAATAAGATGCAGGCCAACTGGCATCAGTACATTGAATGTTTGAGTATGCGAGTTGGAATGCTAAACACAACTTAGGCTTGAAATGATTCTGAAAGGAATTGAAGAACTTACAAGGCTCAATTCAACTCAACATAACTGAACTCATTTCAATATAAAGTAAAAACAAGTGCAATATAAAGAAAAACTGTTTAAAACATTATGTCAACTCTGTGTGTATGCAAAGATACATATAACTCTGAGATGTATGTAAATATACAAATAAATTAATGTATATAAAATTACAAAATATTGTTGTGGGAGTTTCTCCAACCGACAACCATCACTTAAGAGTTATAGTGATGATACAACACTTTACCTCACGCTACCAAGGACCATCATATACCTTGCCGGGGGTATATGACCTAACTCACTAAGTGGATCCACTAGTCTATGCGAAAAAGGATTCATCTAAAAAGTATGACCCTTTTCTACCTATGATGGCTACATGGTTTATGGGGGCTGGGGGTTCTCTGAACACTCCCCCATATCGGTGCTCAATACTACTCCCAAAATATGATACCAGCTCTTTATGTTTAAAACATACTTCTTCTGTGATTTGAGATTAGTGCTCAAATACTTAGCTCAAAGCCTATCTTGGAAATCAAAGTTTCCCCTATTGCTTCATTTAGAAAGCGATTACTCTTTTCTGAAAACTAGCCTGAAGAGCCTTTGAAATCGAGGTTTCTTTTCTTGTTTAAATGTGAAAACATTTTAAACCCTTTGGGAATACATAGTCCCCATATACTTTTGAAGAAGTGGACTTCAAACTTTACTCAACTTGAACTTTAAGTCTTAAAATAAAGTTAGAACATTTGGAAAAGACTTTTGGAAAACTCTAAGAACTTCTCTTGACTATGATCTTAACTGCTCTGGACTCGACTCTTAACTGATCCTTGAATTGAATTATGGATTCAAGGATTGTGATTTGTGATTGGAAAAATCTCATGATGTTTAGGAATGATTGTAAATAGCTAAACATGAGAAAAGTCACGGAATCACCGTCTTGGAACAAGTCCGCGATGCGGAGGTGTTTTAAATAATTACTCGCGAAATTAAATTTTGAGACAGAGGAGTCCGCGTCTTAACTGCGATGCGGAGAAACTTTTTGGTCACTGGGGGAGCAAGTCCGCGTCGCGGACTTGCGTGCCAGATCACGCTAGACTTTTTCCTTCTCTGTTTTACAGCCCCAATTCGCCTAAACTCAACTATTGATCTCAAATTCATTTTAGATTCCGATACCCAGCATATGGACTCCAGAACTTAACTCAAAACAACTCTATAATTTGACTCAAAAATCTCAGAAACTCCTCAATTCATCCCAATTCAAGAACAACATTCAAATTCAAGAATACATGTCAAGAACATCAACTTTCAAACTCTTTTAGGACGAATTTCTCTGAACTAAACATGTTTGGCGCGTGGGTGAATGAACCCAACGCTATGAAATACTCACATACCTTGTAAGATGAATTCCTTGGCGAATCCATAACCAAAATCGATTGTTCTTGGCGAACCTTGAACTTTTCTTCTCCTTTCTCCTCTTTTCTCTTTTCTCCAAGCCCTAGCGTGAATTTCCAATTAACTAAACTGATCTCATTCTGATTGACCCTTAATTAATTCACTAAAACAAACTAAATTAATTGGATAAGGAAAGACTGAAATACCCTTCAAAAATCCGGATTAGACATTTCCTTATTTGAACAGACCAACTTCCAATGTGTGTATCTCACTCATAGGAACTCGGATTCGTGCAATATTGGCGGCGTTGGAAAGATCATTCCAAGAGCTTTCCAACCATATCTGGAAGTACACCTAACTCTTCCTGAACTAGGAGTTATGGCCGTTTGAAGTTGGCCAAAACTCAACTTTTCCTAACTTAAACAAATTTTCAGATTTTCATTATTTCCAAAAATTGAATATTTCCAGTTCTTAGCTTCTTCATAGCTATTTCAAATTGCGAGATGTTACATTGGTTGAGGGCGATGTTTTAAATTTTGTAATTTGTCGTGGTGACGAGGCCATAGTAGACATTGTTGTTTCTAAGGAAATCCATGAGCACCTTCTTATGGATTTCATCGATGATACAACGATGATAGTTATTGATTAATAAAATTTTGGGAAAACGGCACTTTTAGTCCCTATGTTAAGGCTATATTCTTATTTTTGTCCTTGTGTTATCTAACTTAGCACTATTAAACTTCAATTATATCAAGTGAGTGATTTTAATCCTTCAACTAACAGATCCAAAAAAAACTAATAGAAAGTTCACTGCTAAAAGGGGTAATTCGGGTATTTCATTTTAATTCTCTCTCTTTGAAGAACAAGCTCAAGTCTTCCATGTCTCTATCTTGAAGAACAAGCTCATCGACCTGAGCTCATTTTCAACAAAACTAACTTGATAGGCATTAACGTCCCTCTCTCACACAGCGAACGATAGCTCATTTGAGCTGCATTTGAACAAAACCCACTTGATAGGCATGAGATTTCTCTCTTTGTCCGACGAACTCGAAGTCATCTAAGCTACATTTGAACAAATCCACCTGGATCTACTGAAACGTCAACAATGTATTTGTGTGCTCTGATTCTTGGTATGTTGCTGCTCTAATTTATTTATCTTCTCGATTTTTCATAACTTTGAGCTAGATTTTTCTATTCATAAATGGGGATTTTTTTTTATTAAAGCCTGTTGTTCAATTGTATTGCTGCAACTTTTGGCCATTTCTAAGTTACTCAAACAATTCAAAGAAAGTAAACTTATCATCCCTTTTTAATTGACTAAATGAATTGATCTCCCGATCGCTACTTTCCATGTCCAAATGGCAAGATATAAGTGTAGTTTTCAAAGCTACTTTTCCGTTTTAATGTTTGATTGGGACTTGCAGTTTAAAACAAGCCTTAGAAAAATATTACTATTGAATTTCATAATCTTACATTTGTTAATTGACAGCCAAGGCATTGGCAGAGAGTGGATTTGAACCACTTTACAAGCAGATTTTTACAACAGATTGAAATGACCAAGAAAACATTTACTTGTTACCTTTCTACAATAACTGGTCATGTTGAACTTTTTATTTGTCATCTGCCAAAGTGGCTTTCTGCCGTGATCGTCCCTATCTTTTGGGGATGTCTCATCAGATCCTCTCTTTCTTAATTTTGGCGGTCTACAAGGCTGAGTTTTGTATATCGGTGGCAGTGGTGGTTCAACTCCTGTTTTAGGCCACTCTTCAGAGCTGTTAATTGCAAGATGGAGTGTTCATAGCTCTTCATATACTGCTCGGTTGTGTAGCATTCATGGACATACATTTCTGGTTCGTCTTTTTCAACCCATATTGCTGCAATTGCATGATGACAAGGTATTCCAGTTAACTCCCATCTCTTACAAGAACATATCATCTCCTTAAGATCAACAGAGAATAGTCTAAGATTGATGTCATCAATTTGATAATGAAACTGGTCAGCTTTAGTGGCAATACATTCAGCAGCCTTAGATTTGTTCTCCTCTAACTTCAACAAGATTTTTAGACAAAATTTGTGTCCATGCTTCATCATGTTGTCTCTATTCTTCTGAAATCTTGACATCATGTACAACCTAATTAACTCGAGCATTGTCAAAATGTGTTTGTCTCTAGCAACTAATAGTACACTATTGAACGACTCACACAAATTGTTCAATAACATATCACACTTTGGGAAAGAAGAGAAAAAAGCTATAGACCAGTGAATAGGAGGCTTGTTAATGAACCATTGAGGGGCTTCAGGGTTCAATTTTTTCATTTCTTCCATGTACTTGTGAAATGCACCTTCAGTGGTTGCCCTTGCAGCTTTCCATAAGACATCTTTCAGTGCTTGTCCTCCAAAACCTTCAGTTTTAAAGTTGTTGTGCAGGTGTCTCACACAAAACCTATGTGCTACATCCGGAAGTACCTCCTCAAAAGCTGGAATTAGACCCTTTTGCTTATCTGAAATAAAAGTCCACGCACGAGAATTTGTGAGATTCTTAGGTCTTCATCAAGAAGAGTGAGAAACCAATGCCATGTTTCCTTCAATTCTCCTTCTACGACAGCAAATGCAACTGGATACATGTTGTTATTTCCATCAACTCCTACAGAAGTCAATAATTGACCGCCCTTTTGATGTCCTTTCAAGTGACATCCATCAACCCCTATGATTGGTCTACATCCCGCTAAAAATCCTTGTTTAGTAGCTGCATGACAAATATAAAGCCTTAAAAATCTTTTTTTGCCTCTGACCATCATGGTTGGGTTATCATCCATCTTCAAAATGCATGTAGTACCAGAATTACTCCTCCGTAACTCAGCACAATAGTCCCACAACATGTTAAATTGTTCTTCTTTAGTTCCTGTAATCAACTTCGTTGCCTTTTTCTTTGCCCTGTAAGATTGGTATCTACTAAGTGTGCACTTGTGAGTTCTCATTATATGGGCTTGAAATTCCTTCACACCCCAGGATGGATTAATTCTGAAATCTTCTATATACTTCTTAGCTAAAAATCCAGAGTCAATAGTCTTATTGTCTCTTTGGTTGCCATATTCATGATCAGGGCCTATTGTTTTGATCTGGAAAGGTTCATCCTGATTGGCCTTTGATGCAAATATGAACCACTTGCAGTTTGGCACTTTGCAAATTGCTCTTGACCTCTGAGTTTCATTCTTTAAAAAATTAATGTCTTTCTTCTTCATCACAGCATGCACTTCAACATCCCACTTAAACTCTTTACTATTACTAAAAATCATATTGATCAGAAATTCAAATGTTGGATCCTCCAAGTCTTTGCCTGGATTAAAAATGATAGATCTTTTAGGATTATCATCATCTGAATCTCCATGCAAACTCATTAATTCATCATCTGATATAATGCAATCTTTTTCTTGAGTATGACTAGGAAGCTCTGGTAGCATATTTGAGACAAACCCAAACTCAATGTTCTTCCTAGTTTAACAAATCTGATTCTTTTTAGTTTTTCCTTTGATACTAGCTGACTCTGTAATAGAGTTACTGATTTGATCTAATATCATAACATCTTCTTCTGCAGGATAGTCAGAGTCATGAAATGACTCACAATCTTCACTTCTAGCATCACTATCATCGCCCTCATCTACTACATTCACATCTATGAAGCCTTCTTTATTTTGAAGTTGGATCTCTAAATCTGTCACATCATAACTCCACTGGTCCTCATTTGTGTGCTCAATAAATATCTCAATTTCTCTATTCACAGGTATTTCATAGACAAGCTTATAAATATCTGAATCATTTGTTAACAATCTTATACCTGTCTCGAAATAAGGTCCAAACTTAAACCAAAATTTTACTTTTCTATCAACATTCAACTTCTTCACACATAATCTCATCTGAATAATAGAGTTTTCCTCGCCCTTACAGTAGTCATAATAATCTATTCACCCGCCAACGTAATTCATCTCAGGTATAAATATCCACGAACCCATAAAATGCAACTTAATTGAATACATATCAAGATCTTCACCTGCATCTGTAAAGAGATTTTAAAAAACATATTGGTTTCATTAAATAAATCAAACGTAGATTTGAGAAAATGAAAACATATTAGTTTCATTGAGATAAAGTAAATTATAATGTAAACACATTAACATAATCAATCATGCAGATCAGCATCATCCATAAAATGCTAAATTTGTTTCCCTACACTTTAAATTGTGTACTCTTTAGCACTTATTATTCACTTTGCATCTATCTTAAGAAAAATGTTATTGATTGCTCATTTACATGCCTAAAAAGCTAACTGGTTTATTTTGACTGAGCCAAAATACGTGAAGGAAAAGGAAGGTGTTGATGAATTGGGCGAGGATAAATTGGGTAGGCATTTTTATAACTTCCTCTTATTCTCATCCCATGTTCTTCTAAATTCTTCATATCCTTCTCTTTACTTCTTTGTATGTTACCATACTCTTATAAGTTTCCTTAAGCTTCAATTTTACTTGTAATCAGTTGGAATAGTTGGTTTTATAATACATTCAGTTCAGATTGTCACTGCTATCAAAACTGACAACAATTGAATGGAATTCTTTGAGATAAATTGAAGATGTGTAGATTCTAAGATATAATTGAGAGCATTGAATTTATGTGGTGCTTCTGATGATGCTAACAATTTTTTTTATGTCTAATCAAAATTGAATATGGTGTGTTACCATACAGATCCTTAGGGTGTTTGGAATTGAGTTCTTCTAGTAGCTTTAAGTTTACAACTAAGTATATTTAGAATCATATTTTCACATATACAAATAATTTGCATAGCATCAAGGAAAAACAATTCAAAGTATTCTGGTATATTTGTTGAGATATTTTTCTTTGTCTATCACATGAAATTTTGAACTATTCAACTTAAAAGAGTACTCACATGATGGAGTGGATTGCAACCCACTTTTAGAACGCAATTCCATTGCACATCCACACCAAATAGATCGAGACTTCTTCGTTGTGCAGAACTAGAGTTGAACTAGGTTATGCAGCGAATAAGTTTTTTTAAAAAGTTTTCTATTTCTCAAGCAATAACTTTTAAATACCCAAATTGCCCCTTTTAGCAATGAACTCTCCGTTAATTTTTTTGGATTTGTTAGTTGAGGGATTAAAATCACTCACTTGATATAATTGAAGGTTAATAGTGCTAAGTTAGATAACACAAGGACAAAAATAAGAATATAGCTTTAACACAGGGACTAAAAGTGTCGTTTTCCCTAAAATCTTATTGTAGTTGCCTTGTTAAAAAATCCTTTTCTGGAACTCAACTTTTCAATCAATGAATAATTTTAATTTATTTTGATTAATTAATTTAACTAATGAACATGAATCATTTACTTGGTTATTGTAAGTTGGTCAAATGTATATTTTCAAGGCTAATAACTCTGAAGGGTAAAAAAGGAACAATATGTTGACAAGTATTATGAATCATAATACTTTTCATTTCATACAATCAATGCATAAATTACCATATTCTTTCTTTTTTTCTCTTGTTGGTTATTAGCGTTGAAAATATACATTCATCCAATTTAGAAAAGCTAAATAAATGATATTGGTTAAATTAATTAAGGCTAAAGAATACAGAGGGAGTAATTATGAAGCATATTTAATATTTAATCAAACTAGTAATACCTTTGCCATTCTTCGATAATATAAATAATAATTAACAATTAATGTAATAGGTTATTATAGATATAGATTATAAATAAAATATTATGAGTAAAATAATAAATGAGTAAGAGAATATTTATTATTCTAATTATGTATAATAAGTTTCAAAAAATTCCTATTTATCTTCTCTACTTTAATAACATGACTCTTTAACTTATATATAACTATTGTATAATATAATTATAGTAATTAAATTGGGACCGAATTAATTCCTTCTTAAAAAGATCATTCACTATATAAAGAATGAAGAGTTTAACTTTTGGTGGGAAACTTTTTTGGTGGGAACTCTGAAATTTTAAACACTCCTATAAATACCCAATACAGTCTAACTTATACACCTATCTCCCAATATCTTCTCTCATTGAAAAAATGGCAGACTTCACACCAGTCTCTTATCCTCCCCTACCACACTTCAAAATGAGACTAAGTAGATCATACGTGACGCTAAATGGAATGGTAAAACATTTCACTGTATTTCCTTTATTTGTTTTTTTATTAAAAACATCTTGAACTAATGTCTTGTTATTTTTCTTTTATGTAGTGGCTTCCGCAATCGATAAGTCAATACTTTCCCAAGAACCCAACAGATACTTTGTTAATATATATAGGACCGGATAGAATGTTTGCAGATGAACACAATTTAACTGTAGGCTATTGCGGTTCGAAGAACCGGCAGAGGTTCTCTGATGGTTGAAACTTGTTTATTCGTAAGGCAAAATTAGTTGAGGGGGATGTTTTGAAATTTGTTATTTATCGTAGTGATGAGGACATGGTAGACATTGTTGTTTGCAAAGAAAACGATGAGCACCATCTTCTGGATTTCATCGATGTCGACACTGTGACAGTTATTGATTAAATTGTTTTTTATTGGACTTGATATTTTGTGATTGTTTTCTATTTTTCTTAATTTTCAGTCTAATTTTTATAATTTAATTGATTTCGTGTATTTAATAAGAAAATTTAAATGTTTTAAAAAATGGAAAAGTCTAAACTAACTAAATCTTTTTGAAATCTTCAGTCAAATGAGGCTAGGACTCTGTTTTCTGACAGCTCCAAAACAAAAGACTTTGCATGTACACTTTGTAGAACACATGTGACCGTTCGAACTAATGAATTCTACTTTTGTACTTGATGGGCTTTAAATAGTTGCAACTATAGATATTCTTTCAATAACTTAATCTTCTACCAAATGTCCATATTTCTTTGGTTCTTGTATCACTACCATGCCTCCTTCAGTCAACAGAAACGCACATGATAATCGTAGAAGACGATGTCACACGGTTTGGGAGATTGAACTTCTAAAGGAAGAAGTACAGTACCTCAATCGTGCAATGAAAGCACTTAAGCGTGAAGTAAGGACCTTGTCTCGTTCTTTTCTTAACCTTTCTACTCAGGTTAATAATGCATTGGAACTTAATAACCATGGTGGTGCCGATAATATTCAGGGTGGTGGTAGGGTCGATAATATTGAGGGTGGTTGTGCTTGTAATGTTTAGTGGTCGTCTCCTTTTGATGTAATGATATTAATGTCTTTAGTAATGTACTATTATGTTTCATTTCGTTTTCGTTTTTATTGTGGTTTATTTTTAATTTCTATCGGAATTTCTCTATAATTTAGTGAGTATAATTTATACTTCATTACACTTAACAAGGTTAACAAACGACCCCATCTTATTATTTGAAACGTTTGGGGATACTGAACAGACGACTCTTGGACTAACCAAATCAACTGCTGGCTTAACAAATGTAATTGTCGGTTATTATAAATTATCCCTCATTCGTCTACACTTAATACATAAATTTCCCATAAAATAACATAATTTAATCCCTAACATGTCTTCCTCAGAGAACATAAACGGGCATCTTAGTATTACAGGACTGGGAGAATACATATCTTAAAAAATACTGAAGATTTAATGAGTGGAATTAATTTTATTTTATAGGGAAAAAGGTCAAATATATCCTCAAACTTTCAAAAATGGTACATATATATCCTCCATTATACTTTTGGGTCATACATATCCTTACCGTCATAATTTTAGATCATATATACCCTTTGATTAAATGGAAAAACATGTGGCAAGATCTCAAATAGTTGCCCTATTTTATTTTATCTTTTATCCAAAATTTAATCTCTCTCTTCTCTTTCTCTCTCCAAGTTCATATTCTGTTTTTTCCTCTCTCTCACCGGGAGGCACCATTTTTCATATTAAAATATCAATCAAAGCATCTTAAAGACAATAAAGGAGCAAACCAACAACTAGTTTTCACCTTAACTATCAATGCAATATCTACTAGAGAAAGAATGAAATAAGGTAGCACTTAAGAAACTAGGAACTAACATAAACAATTTAAGGAAGAGCTTAATAGATTCACACCCAAATTGTGACCATATTAGCAATAGATGAAAAATTCAACATAATTGAAAATAAGTATTTGAATAAGGTATTTAAATCTGGATACTATCGAGAATTTCAAACAAATTTAAACACTGATTATTGATAACAAGTCTATTCCTTAAAATAGAAAGCGAGTAAAAGACTAAGCAACACAACCTAATGTAACTAGTTAAACACCAACTGATTCATAAAATGTTAAGCTAACACAAGCCTCCATTGTCGAGCACTGAGGTTAAAACAAGAGACAAGATCCAAAACTAACAAAAAGTGCTAAACAACGAAGTTAAATCTAAACACCTTTATTTAGTTAACTAAATTAGGCACACATAATC